TATTTTAATATTAAATTGATTATATATCAAATAAAATACATCTTTTAGTATATTAAAGGCATTTAATTTAAATTTTATAGAATATACCCATATGCCTCGCGTAGCCCAATCAATAAAAATAATAAAATATTTTTCTTCTTTTAAACCTAGCATTTTAAATAGTCTACAAATATCAATACTAATTTTATCGAATTTATCTAATTTCAAATTCGAAAAGGATTTACTAATATTTTGAGTCATTTTGCCATATATACAAACTTCACAATAACTTAAATCTATTTTAGAATCTTTTAAATTTAGTGTTTTTATAATATAATCCTTATTTATATAATTTAAACATTTATACCATAGGTCTAAATCCTTTGAATTTGTATTATTAGATTCTTTTTTAGATTTAAATTTAGATTTCTTTTTAGATTCATTTATTTGATCTATTTTGGAATCCTTATTCTTATTATTATAAATAATATTCTTATTTTGATTTAATAAATCAAAATTTATATCACATTCTAAATAGAATGCATTATCAATCTATTTAACATCCGCTTTTATATTAAGGGATTTATTTGAAAACTTATATATATTTCCAGGGAATAGTATTTCGCTTATTCAACCCTTTTTAGCGGCTTGTTTAGTACTTATTAATGTTGATTTTAGGTCTGGTATATACTTAACCATTCGAATGAATACTGTTTTATTATTTATAATAATAGGAATATCCCCATGCCCTAATACTAATATAGATTTTCCATTAGCTACATTAGCTTGTTTTGGAACTTTATATTTTGTATAATTTATAAACCAATCTTTATTTGGACAATAGTGCTCTATAGCTCCTGAATCTATTATAATATTATATTTAGATCGGCTAATATGATTAACTAACATCGATACAATCATAATATTACTTTCCCATTCAGGACTAGACACTATATCGAAGTCTTTTGAAAAGGCCTAGTTTATTTCTTCAATATCAAAGCTATTTTTAGATTCTTTTTTTATTATTATTATTATTTTTATTATTTTTATTATTTTTATTTTGATTTTGATTAACTTTTTTATTATTTTTGATAATCCTATTAGACTTTTTAAGCTTATTCAACTCTTTAGTTATTTTATACAGTTTTTTATTTGATTTTTTACTATTTTTGAACAAGTTTTTAGACTTTTTATAGTCTTTATTATAGAGTTCTGAGTGCTTTTTAAAGCACTTTTCCTCTAAATGCCCCTTTTTATTACAAAAAATACAATTTGAAATAGTATTTTGTGATTTTATAACTCTATTAAACTCTATAAAACCTTTCATTCTAAATTCCTTAAATATTAATTCAAATATTAGCTTATCTAAATCAATATTATTATTATTATTTAAGTCTTTCAAAAGTTCTTCAGTCTTTCTTAATTTAAATAAATCAAATGAATCGTTTAGACCATTAAATACAATCCATATTACATAAGCTTTTTGTAATTCAAATTTTAACTCTTTTAAGTATATATAGGATAAAAGTATATAGTTTGTATATTTATCTATATTATTAAAATCATTATAATTTGATTCTATTAGCCTATTAAAATATCTCCCTATTATATCAAAAAAAATTTCACCATAAATTTTATTTATAATATCCCAAAGCTCTACTAGACTAGTTTTATCCTTAAATCTATCAACTAAATCCATCAATATTATTGATTTTAATATAACTAAAGCTCTTTTGGATTTATCTTTATATTCTTTTAATTTTTCACTATATTTGAAATAAATCTCTTTCGAAATAGGCATATTATTGTCTTTAAAATAATACTTTCTTTCAAAGCCTTTTTCTGAATTATCTATATGAGCATAAAACCATTAGCCTCTAAAAAGAGCTTAGATTTCTGATACCATTCTATATAATTAGAACGACCATTCAATTTAGGATTAGTATATTTGATTCCTTAATTCATATTCATTTTTATTTTGTTTTATATGAATATTATATTATATATATATAGTATAGTAAATACTATAGAATCGGAATCTTTTATAAGATTTTTATATTTTACATTTATTAGTACAAAATATTAGATTTTAACTACCACCTCTTAATCTAAACCTATATAAACCTTTATATATAAGTTTATTCAAGCTAAGACACCTTTATATAAGATGTATTACTATACGATCCGATATGGATAACATATACATACACATATAGCTTCTAGAGACCTAGCTTTCAGCTCAATTAGGTTTAGTCTTAGAAACACAGGCTTATATAAGAAGACTAAAAGAGCTAATAATCTACAGGAGTATATATATATAGGAATATAAGAATAGGAATTTGAATTTATACTATTGTATGCAATATTTCTTCAAATACAGAAATTCGAAGCGATCGTATTCGATTTGCCTCTTTCCTTGCTAAATTGAATATAAATTCGATATTTTTATTCTCAATTTGAATTAGATTTAAATTCAAATTTAGCCCCTTTTCGATAACTATATTCTAAAAATAAATTGAATTCCAGGTTTCTTCTTGTATAAGATTAGGGTTCCCACTAATAGTCTCTAAATCGTAATTATAATATATAGTTAAACTATAAATGGAATTAGCTACACCTAGCGTATCTAAATAATCCTGGTTTTTGCCCCTTAAAGCTATTAGATGATATAAAACTCTTATAAAGTATATAATAAAGTAATATAATTCGTTTATAAAGATTTTTCTCTTTTCTTTGTATTATATTATATCGTATTCCCTATTATCTAGCGTCTTTTTATACCCTTTTAATATCCAATCAGAAAGGTTTTGAATTACTTCCATATATATATAATAGGTCGATAGTATGTATAAGTGTATATATAGGGTTCGCAGACATATATATAGATCGACAGCTATATGCGAAGTGTATATAGGGTTCGCAGACGTATATATAGTTCGACAGGGTATGTAGATCGACAGGGGTATATAGGTCGATAAGGGAATATAGGTAGGGATCGACGACTAGCTTTATACCTCCAGTGAGGTATGATATTCAACTCCACTATGTCCGGTGGCGTACAGGAAGGGTTAGGTTTAGGATTAGGTGTACGTCCGGTGACGTATAGTATCGATATGGTATGTATATGCCAGTGATCTGTGGTATGCCTCCGGTGAGGTGTAGTGTTGATACTAGTATGCCTACAGCGGTGAGGTATGGTGTATATATTAATATGCCAATAGCAGTGAAGTATGGTGTAGTATGATATCGATACTAGTATGCCTAGTATAATATAGTATTCTTCCTTATTTATACTACCTAATAGTACAACAAGGGTATGGTATGACGTATATATATGTAGGCTAAGGACTCGAAGAGGGATTCGAGATCGATGTAGACTCGTACTAGTATATGAATACACTTAGATAACATATGTAGCATCTGGATACATATCAACTCAATAGAATTAAACACGAATTTAGACGCGATTCGACGAATGCTCAGATTTCGGTCGCTTTTTCGACTGTTTTTCGGTCGTACGACCCTTTCCTTGCTTTTTCGAATCGAATATCGACATGTATGTATCGTATTTAGTCGTATATATAAGATACCAGGCTCATAACCTATCATAGGTCATGAGTTAGTATATGAGTATATGGTATATATAATATATAAAAGAGATTAGATTAGTATTAGTCTATTATAAGAAGCTAGCTCGTATTAACAACTAAATAGCTTATAAAACACATAATTTTCATAAAACAGTATATAATATTCCTTTTTTTTTTATTCTATATTCGAGGGGGAAAGGCTTTATTTTATGCTTTTTCCTACCAATCTAGCTTTCCACCATCGTAGATCTCTTCCTTTTCCGGCCATTCCATTAGATATAGCTCTTCTTTCTTATTCCTTATTCGATTTCACTAGGGTTACGTCAACCTAGCTACGTATGAGTTGAAAGAGCTAATAAAGAATCGGTTTTCCGGCCGTTCTGGGCTAAGGGCCTTAAGCGACGATCACGTGATATGATCATGTGACTTGGTCAGGTGACTTGGTCATGTGATCCTGTGATTCGCTCCCAGTATACTATATGAATATAGAACTATATATACATATATATAAAAAGATGTATTATTATATTGTTTTTATATAAAAACAATAATAATATTAAACAAGAGAATTCAACTCAGTATACAACCCTAAAAGAATTGATAAAATAAAAAAGAAAGAAATATTATTATTAATTAGAACTCAAGGAATCGATTAGTATAATTACTTTTGAGTTATCTCAAAAAATGAAATTTATATTCAATTTAATAATACTTAAAGAATAAAAGACTAAACATCAAAATTAGATCTTTTTCAAATTTATTAGGAATATTTCTATATTAAATTTAAATTTTAATTTTTGAGATAATTCAAAAGTAATTATATTAATTGATTCCTTGAGTTCTAATTAATAATAATATTTCTTTCTTTTTTATTTTATCAATTCTTTTAGGGTTGTGTATTGAATTGAATTTTTATTCTTAAATACATACTACTAAATTCTAAATTAGATTTTAGCTTAGGCAGAAATCTATTTTTGGGGTTTATGCCAAATGCGCGTTATCGGCCTCAGTACCAGTAAGGTTACCCACATTTGCCTAGTTCGGTACGCACTAAACCTTAATGCTAGCGCTGGGAGGAAGCCTCGTATCTCGTATGTCGTATTGACCCCCCCGATAGGGTTAAACGAATAAAGTTATCCACTTATACCTACTCACTTCCTCACATTCTATTCAATATCTCGTGCAGCATTGCAAATGATGCAGGAAATCACTTACCTTGCTGTAATTTCCTCAACGGAAAATAATACAATCAGTATCGCTTTAACCTTATCAAATTTCAATGCTCGTATCAAATACGACGGTAGTCGCGATGGTTCATGTATATAAACATTCAATTCATCGCGTTGTTGAAGAATATTCACTCATCACACTTCCTTCATCTCTATTCCCCAGAACAAATCACCTTCTCGCCGTCGAGCTGAAAAAAACACAATGGCATCTCCGTGTAATATCTCTGCTATCCCCTATCCAGATTTACCCGGTGCTTCATTTCTCTCTGGAACAGCACTACCAGTTCTAAACTATACCGCCTCAATCTTACCACTCAACCAAGGCTCCGCTGTCAATATCACTTCACTCGATTTCTGTAATGTAACACTGACATATACGCATCCGGGTCAGAATGATACTATCAATGTCAAAATCTTCCTGCCTTCATCATCATCGTGGAATGGTCGATTTATGGGAACAGGCGGTGGTGGATTTGATACCGGGGCCATCGACACCTCTATGACTCCTCCGGTGTCTGAAGGCTACGTCGCAGCTGGCACAGATGGTGGACACTATGTTGGCAACGATATTACCAATCCCACCGCATTTTATGCCAGCGATTGGGCGCACGTGTCACCTGGAAATGTCAATCTTTATTTACTTCAAGATTTTGCTTCGGTTGCCTTGAATGATATGACGATCATCGGAAAGTCTGTTGCAGCTTCTTATTACGGAAGAAATCCAGATTACTCATATTGGAATGGCTGTTCGACAGGTGGGAGACAGGGTATGATGATGGCTCAACGCTATCCAGAAGGGTACGATGGAATCCTAGCCGGTGCGCCCGGCATCAATTGGGCAAACTTTGTCCCCGCTATGTACTGGCCTCAATTTATCATGAACCAACTCGGAGTATATCCCAGTGCGTGTGAAATGGACGCGATTACCGCCGCCGGCATCCAGGCGTGCGATGGCCTGGATGGTGTTGCAGATGGTATCTTGAGTGCACCCGCACTCTGCAATTTTCACGCCAATGCCACAGTCGGGAGAAAGGTCAGCTGCGCAGATGGAAGTGCATTGACGATTTCCGCGGAAGCAGCCATGGTGGCTCAAGCGGCTTGGGACGGTCCCCGAGACGAGGATGGAAGTTTCCTGTGGTACAGATTGAATCCTTCGAGTCCTCTCGGCCTCGGGACCGCCCTCACGATTTGCGCCGACGGAAATGCAAACTGCACAGGCTGGCCCGTTCCATTCGGGCCCGAATGGATCAGTCTCTTTGTTGTGAAAAATGCATCGTTTGCGCTTGACAATGTCACCCAGCACGAATTTGCACGGCTCATACGTTCATCTGTCGAACAATATGCATCGATCATCGGAACGGCGGATCCCGATCTCTCGACATTCAAAGAAACGGGAGGGAAGATTCTCATGTGGCACGGTTTGTCGGACGAACTCGTTCCTCCCCCTGGAACCGAAAAGTACTATCGGGAAGTCGAGCGGAGGGATCTGAATGTGCGAGATTATTATCGACTCTTTGAAGCGCCGGGTGTGCAGCATTGCTCTGGGGGGAATGGACCGTTCCCGACGGATTTGATGGGGGCTTTGATTAAGTGGGTTGAGGAGGGCGTGGCGCCCGAAGTTGTGGAGGCCAGAATCGCGGCGACGGGTAACGCGACGGAGATTGTGAGGCATTTGTGCCAGTATCCATTGGTGCAGAAGTATGTGGGTGGGGATTCTCATGTGGCGAGCTCGTTTGTGTGTAGTTTGGAGTTTTGATGAGGGTGTTGGGTTGGGTTGTAGAGGTGAGATGGGGAGTTGAGATATTTGGTGAGGTGATTTGGATGTGGGATATTGATATTGATATTGATATTGATATTGATATTGATATTGATATTGATATTGATATTGATATTGATATTGATATTGATATTGATATTGATATTGATATTGATATTGATATTGATATTGATATTGATATTGATATTGATATTGATATTGATATTGATATTGGTATTGATGCTGGATACTGGAAAAGAGAAGCCTTTCGATTCGATATAATGAATTCCATTGTACTTTAATCTGCCACCATTAGTTAATACTTCTTTAGACACACACACATATATACTTCAATTGTACAATGCAATACAAAAGTCTTGATTTACATCTCGAGCCCAATGATCATGTTGATGAAATCTCCTTTCCTCTTGTGTATAGTAATCATTCAGGCGTTACTATCTACCTATCTATCTAGATAGGTAGTTAGTTCCCTTTCCATACTCCCCTCAAAATCCTCCCTCATATCTATTCCATACACCATAATCCAGTCAAACCTACCAAACCAATATCTCCCCCCCATTCCAGAAATCCACGTGATCATACCCATTACCGAAACCATCCAAGTAACAATACCTTCACCTCCGGCCCCCTTCCACCCAACCCGAAACTCTCGGCCCGACCACCACCCAATATCAATACATCCATCTGGGCAATCCGAAACCCAAACCATCAACCGGGAATAAAAATAAAAAGTGTTTTTATTCCCAGACCATGTAATTCTTCTTCAAAATTGGTTTAAATGTGCTGGTGAACGAGGAAGGTGAAGTGTTTTTGAGATGTGCAACAAAAGATTTCTTGGGGGAGGGAGCCAATGAGAGGGAGGTAACGTGATGATGGGGGATGGGTGTTTGTGATGACTAACTTGTGACTGCACTGCTTTTTGGGTAGGTAGGTATAGGGATGTGCTGGGTGGGTGGGTGAGTGGATTGGGGGAGAGTCAGGTGAGTGATGGGTAAGTGTGAGTATTGATTGATATTCATATAGCAATAATATAAATCCAGGTAGGTACCTACTGGATGATGGGAATCAAGGAGGAGAAGATCTATCGATATCTGGGTTGGATGTGTGATGTGTGATGTGTGCTATACGTATCTAACCTTGGAAGTAGGAATACTGATGCTGTATTTTTTTGGCTCTGGGATTTGCATGTCATGTCAACTTCACGCTGGATTCATGTTAATGGTTTATTGTTTGTATGGTTGGAATCTGTAGAATGGGTAAGGTTACTTTGGATGATGGTTTATATATGCATTTATTGTAGGTAGATGGATTGTATGGAGAGTTCTTGGATGGAGGGCACTCAGATGAGGTTGTTTGGAGATTATACTATTTTGACTTCACTTCATGCTGGTGATATTCTTCTTGGGTGAAGAGCCGTGTTTATGGAGCTGCTTGTTTGGATCTATCTACTTGATACTGGGGTTAGAGTCACAACTTATATGATATTGATGTCGGCGAGAGGTTGGATGGAAATGAGAAGGGAGGATGGACATAGGGAGGATGAAAGGGCTGGTAGATGGACTTTATGATCACATTCTTTGAAAGTTCTCTTGTAGTTTATACTTGAAGATATAAATTTGGGAATACCAAGGTTGGCACCGACATCAGCATCAAGTATTAACATCGAGGTCAACTTTGATATCAATTTTGAAGTAACTTTGAATTGGCTTCACTCTACAGCTTCACTCTACAGCTTCATCCTTCACTCTACAGCTTCATCCTTCACTCTACAGCTTCATCCTTCACTCTACAGCTTCATCCTTCACTCTACAACTTCATCATCCAATTCTCATCATCCAATTCTCAACCTTGAACCTCTCACTTCCACTTACCTACATTCCATTCTCTACTGTCAATCCATCTCGCTGCCGAGGTACCTTGGTGGTCCAAGAATCCCTTGGAAGCTTCCATCAAAGACTCACGATATTCACTCCAGCTACCTTGCCAATTTGAATGAAAATTTGAATGAAAATTTCATCCTTTGCACTGCCTCTCCAACCTCACCGCCCTCAACAGAATTTTTCTATTGGTGATATCTTCAACACAATTCACTTTCATCGATTGCGCCATCTTTCTGCCACACCCAGTTTCCACAAAACAAAGACAAATTCACTTGATATCTCACACGCGCCGCGTCTATCGGAAAGACGCCCGAGAAACAAGGTTGGGAGAAAGAAAACTTGCTCAATCTCATTTCCCAACAGACGCCGACAAGGCATTCTCCGTCACTTTCAACCCGTTTCCCCTCACCTTTCCCTCATTTTCCAATATTCAAATATTCACTTGTAAGCCGCAGAGAAAATTTTCTCCTCAACCGAAGTGATCTAGCGCACCGAGATGGATTTCAAATTAACTTAAATACTTCCACATCCCCCGCGCCCTTTCTGATTTCCTTTTTTCTCGACACGAATCTCCTCCAGACTGGAGTTTGTTCTCTTCTTTGCAGATCCGCCAACTGCATTGAATTGAACTTACTCCATGTCTTGGACCAACATCTCAATCATTAAAGTGCCCTTTGGATCTTTTTTATTCTTCAATTGACTTGTTCTTCGCCATCCCCTCCTCCGCTCCCTTCTTCTTCCCTTCTCTTTGTCGGATATCAACAACCTTCACCATTTCATCTTGGTCTCTTTCGTGTAGTGCCTGCTGCACGAGAGTGTCCTCGTTGGTATTGGTTCAACATTTTAATCATTGAGTGCCTCCGCCTACCGATCTCAATCATTCTTTTGTTCCTCATTATCCTTCAACACCTTCTCGTTTGTCGATACCTTCTTCTTCATCTCAATTTGCCTTTCAATTGTAGTGCCTGCTGCAAGCGATTGACCATTTTGACCTGATCCTACATTTCAATCATTGAGTACCTCTATCCATCGATCTCAATCATTCATTTGTTCCTGGTATCCTCAACTTCTTCGACAACGAGCGTTCTCTAGAAGGACTTTATCAACCTTTCTGGTGTAGCGCCAACTGCAACTGAAAATGATTTACTTCGTCTCTTGAACAATCGTTGTCTCCTCTCTCAATCGACCAAACCACTCGATCGAGCCTCGTCAGATTTCGAACTTGAAGGTTCTGTGTAGCGCCAACTGCATAGAACTAACAACTCCACTTCTGTCGACTCGCTCATCTTGTGGACCACTGGTCACCTTCAACCTTACTTGCGATTCGGACTTTAGGAGTGTCTTTTCTTTGTAGCGGCCGTTGCAAAGGATAGACACATTTATTCGTCTCGACCTTCATCACTTGTTCGGTACTTCGACAATACAAAGCCACCTACCCTTTGTACTCACCACGCTGGTCCTTTCAATACCACCACCGGCGACCCATTCGCACTATTCTCGTCTGCGTCTGGTCTTCCTCACCCTTTTCCGACTGTTCTTGTGTAAGTTTTTCCTCAATGCAGTCTTACCTGAATAACATCACTAACTACCTACAGATTTTTCTTTTCGTGTGCTTGTTCTGAATACGATCAACTCTGCCCCGTTCGAGTTGTGGTGAGTTATCAACTTGAATACATTGTTGATCACCAAGATACTAACACCCATTGCAGAATCGATTTGTCCTTTCCTTTTGCGTGCTTCTTCTGGTTACGATCGACTCTGTCCCCGTTCGAGTTTCGGTAAGTCATCAAGTTGAACACGTCGTCGCACCACCAACATGCTAACACACCTTGTAGAATTGTTATCTCCTTCCTCCTTTCCTTTCGGTTTTTCCTTTCGGTCTTTCCTTTCTCGACAATATCGTTATCATTTTTATCCGGTTCGACAAATATCTTTTATTATTCTTATCGCAAGAAGTATGTATTTTCCATCATTCTCATTCCTCCCTTCACCTCTTACCTTGACCAATTCTAACCTCAAACAACAGGTTTTCGCAGTTCGGAATGGTGTGGTTGCAGGTGTGATGAACTGGTTGGGCGGAAACCCACATCTTCATGATCCACCTCTCCACTTACTATGTCTTCGCCTTCCTCTGTTAATTCTACCAAACTTTGTTGTTGATCCTTATACGATCTCCCTCGATGAACCATACGTCCAGTGCGGAGGTTCTTCGTTTCGCAGAGCTGTACGTCCCGGTCGCCGATGGCACGACAGGATGCAGTTTCTGACGGGAGATCAGGTCGAGTAATAGTCAGGACGGTGTAAATATAGCAGGCTGCGTCGGCAGGAAGCTTGAGAGCCCCCTGACTTCCTTCTCACTGACCATCGATTGCCTGAGGAAAACACCAGGACGGCAGGCACACCCGAGAGGGTTCGTGACCGACTTAGCCTAATGGGACTCAGGAAGACGCGGGACGTCCCCCGTTGTCTTTCAAAGCAAATATTACAACAGAGTGAGGTCTTATTAATGGGTACGGGATCGACGTTGGCTGGTGATGGTGAGTTGGTTGGTGACTGTTGATGTGGTGGGACGGTTTGGCTGGGGAGTCTGAGGTGGGGATTGGTGTGGGGGTTGGGGTGGTGGTTGGTGTGGGGGTTGGGGTGGTGGTTGAAGTTTCGAGGCTGCGGCCCTTCTTGTATTCGGGGTCAGCTGTGTTTTCAAGCCTGGTGGGCTGGAGTTGGCTTCGGTCAAAGGAAACATGGCAGAAGTTCAATTTGCTTTTGGGCAATTGAAGGTTGGTGGTGTTTGAGTAGAAGGTAAAAGTCAGAAAAGCCCAAAAACATTCGAAAAACGAAACATCAAAAAAACACGAAAAACAACAAACACCAAAAAACTCGAAAAACGAAAAAACACCAAAAAAAGGAAAAAGTCAGGCTTGACTTGTACGAAAAGTCCGCTTTGGTGACGGCCGAGGAGGGTTTCTTGTGGAGGAACAGCTTGACTTGAATATTGTAATAACAATTTTGTACAAGTACCTTGATTTCCCTTCCCTTGTGAATGCATTTGATGAACATGAATGACATGTCTTGTGATTTCCACCAACCTTTCTCCTGATTCATTTCTCTCTTTTTGTATTTACTAATATCATGGGTGTGGATCACTTGAGAAAGTTCCAATCATATTCCCGACTTTGAGATTCTGATAACACTAGGTATAAAGCGGGAATGCTTTCTTTAATGAGGTGGTGGATCGAATTCTGATATGGATACGAGTATACCCATCCATCACCATTGATGTGATTGACCTTGAAGTAGAAGAAACCACACCACATGGCACAACATCACACCACCTGCACGACACCATACCACCTCTCTCTAGGTAGTTGAGTTGCATACCTAACTACTTACCTATCCATGGATCTAGTAAGTACACATTCCCTCCATTTCCTACACTACTTCATCCTACCTCGCAGTAAATCACCTCATTCACCTCGTTCACCTCGTTCACCTCATTCACCTCATTCACCTCGTTCACCTCATTCACCTCATTCACCCCGTTCACCTCATTCACCTCATTCACCTCGTTCACCCCGTTCACCTCGTTCACCTCGTTCACCACAGCAAACACAAACACAAACACAAACACAACCTTATCGCAAACCAACTCACGAAAATAATTGATTTCTACAACTCCCATCCCATCCCATCCCATCCCATCCCCTCCCATCCCATCCCGTTCTATTCTATTCTATTCTACGAAGAAAAACCCAAGACAGTGAGAGGAAGTACAGTACACCAGGTGGGATTGATTACCTAGAAGGCTAGAAGCTGGAGGTGTGGAGGTGATGTTGAAAAATCGATGTTGAAAAATCGATGGCTTGGGTCCGAGGGTGGGGTGGCTCGAGATAGGATAGGATAGGATAGACGCACGGCGGATTTTACGATCCTTAGGTTGGTTACTCCTCTGTGGGTAGGTTAGGTTAAGGTTAAGTTTAAGGTTAGGTCAAGGTTAGGTTAAGGGTACATGAGGGTATATTCCGCCAGCCCAGCCCAGCCCATATTTTGAACATTGAAATCGAAGCACTAGTGAACTTCAAGTCTTGAGAACCGAACGGCCGTGGATGTAAATGTGAATGCGAATGTTGGATCGCTGTTGGATCGCGAATGTTGGAGCTCGAATGTTGTATCGCAAATATTGGATCGCGAATTGTGCGCTGTGGGTTTGGGTGCAGGGGCTGCTTGGATGAGTGAGTTTTGTGGTTATGTAGGTATTCTTGCGATATTGATACGGATATTGAATATTGAATACTGAATATCGAATATTGTGTTGTGGAGAGATGGTAGGGTAGGGTGGGTAGGGTAGGTTGTGGAGGTAGGCAGGTATGATTGCACTGCTGCTGCTGGAGGGATAGTTTGCATAGTTCATGTGGTTTACGCGTCTTGGAACGATTTGATGTGATGGAATAAAATGGGCGCGGAAAAATCATGGATGGATGGATGAGTGGTGGTGGTGATACGGGCTGCTAACTATATACTATTTGGATCGAATGTCTATAGATTTCTTGCAAACACACTATGGGCTGCGAGCGAGCGATGATTGAAACGCGAAATGAGTACAGCGTTCACACTCAATGGGAAATGGATATATGGATTATGGAGCGCCGAGGGCGTGCAACGGATGATATGATGCGAGTTTAAGGAATCACGATACATACTTCACGATTGCATTCATGGTCGTGAGAAGAGAGTTTATTTTATTGTGGGAAGATATTCTAATATGAGTAAATGATGGTGGTTGAAGACCAAGCAAAACGCAAAATACGAATGGAGATGAGCAAAAATATGTGTATGGAAAGAAAGATGCACTTCCATCATGCCCTGCATGTCGAACATACCAGATATCGAAATGTTGGGTGGACCGGGATAGTGTCTAGTTGGAATGATTTGCCGTTGATGCAGAACATCCAGGCAGGCTTATTTTCAGAGAACGATCCTTGGCCGTGAGAAGTTGCGAAAGAGGACGCTGATTCAATTCAAAAGATAGGGAGAGGGGAGCTGGAAGTTATAAATGCAGCTGGCATTCCGCATGCGAGACCTATCTCGGTTCCGTACATGCGTGCAATATTCGCCATTGCTTTCATGTGGGTATTCATAGATGCGTAGTCGAGAAGTACGAGGAGCTCACGGAACCTCAAGAATCGATATGCTTTGGTTGTACTCGAGGCTTCGGATGTTTCCCATCATTCGTTTAAACGAAAGTATTGCGATTGAGCCAAAATGTGTATTGAGTCGTTTTCCCAAACCACGAAGTTGGATAAGGGCAAAATACGGATCTGGATGGCGTCTGTGACAGCCAATCTTTTTGCTATCGCCCCAGTCAAGATGTGCGGCAGGTTGTAACTCAACCGCAGAACCTCTACCTTTCCACGATTCAAAAACAACTTTACGTATCGCGCGTCTGATGTCCTTCCAGCTGACAGTGCCGGTATCTTGGCCACCATCTGGATCAGAGTACATGGACGTGTGAATACCCAGTGTCTTGATATCGAATTTGATTTACAGCTCGGTCGTTGCGTCAACTTTTTCGAACGCTGAGACAACTGGTACTGCTCGTACCGTATTGCCCACTTGTGTTGGAGCTACCGTGTGTGTCTTGCTCTTCTCCTCATTATGCGGGGCTTGAAACGTATTTGAATCTTCAACGCCCAAATAGTTTGAACCTCCGCGGTAGTCTTATTTACCTTTTTGTTCTTCGCTTGCAGATCTGAGTCTATTCTAACTCTAATACTGTTATGCTTTAGCTTGATATTTTCTATATGGTTTGTATCGATCTCCAGAAGAAAGCATTTATCTCCTCAATATCTTTGTTATTCACCCCGTTATGTTCCCATGTCGCTCTGAAAAAATCTCGGGTTCCTTTCCACATTTTGGAGAGGACAATCCTTGACTTCACGTCGCAAGCTATCCACGTCTCATCATTTTTCCCGTTCGGGAATGAAAGCTTTGAAAATTGTCTAAGAGCTTCAATATCATGAAGCTTCATCTCTATCAACTGCTAATCTTCAGTATCTATCTCGGCGTCTTCACTTCCATTTTCCTCCATATGTTGGGGCTGTACTTCATATCATCATGTCGACTATCATCTCATTTATCTTATAGAATATATCTCAATCGTAACAAATCATTCCGAGAAATTCGACAACTCGGACGCCTTGTTCTTTAGTGACCTGTGGGAAATAATCATTCCGATACCGAAACATCAGTAATCTATTGAATCAATATTTCTCATCAGGAGCTCCTATTACTACCTAGTATGTTTCAGTAATAATGTAGAGGGTCTTCATCAAATGATTTCACGCTACTTTGAAAAATCCGGGGCTTTGGCTTGTGATGTAACATGTTATAGTGCAATCTTTCATGTACTTACCTATTGGTTTTTGCGGCTGTCTGACAAGGCAGTGCCGCGAAGCTACCATCTGCTGGATAATGGCTGAACGCCTCTAAGTCAGAATCCATGCCAGAAAGCGGTAGGTATATAGTGATACTTCCAAATCACACAGTGCTTTGTTGTATTCCAAAGAGAGGAAGGGGTTTGTCTTGGTGATAGCATCGATGGCAGTTGAGTAATACACACCTTCAAGCTTCTCTATTTCAGAAACCAAAGTTCTCCAATTCCGCATGATCGTCAGTTCCCTGAGAAAGTCGTCTGTCTGAAAAGATGCTTCTTGAAGTTAAAGTTCGGACCTCGAATGACCTTTCCGTCTCCCCAAAGATTCAACCATCGTTTAGCCTATGCGGAATCCATTTGTGGGAAGGAGCTCAATATGATCTCGTTTGATGACTAGAGCCACACGTGCGCTACCTACCTACTCAACAGCCGGAGCTTCTCGATATCGACACGCTGTGGCGGACCAGAAGGTTCCCTTTCATATCCGGGAAAAAAACCATGAATAGCAAGAATGCGAGATTGGAACGTAGTACAGATGTGCAATTGCTTCAGGCCATCGTGGTTCGCTACGAATTGCTCCACTATCCGACGGAGGATTTTCATTGTCTTGCTTTGTGCTCTCGGGATTGAATGTGCACGCGGAAAGTCAATGATATCTTTTCTGTGTGCGGCGTGCTTGTCCCATTGTGAGAACACCGTATTCTAGGTCATGCGTGATTACACAGTACGGTTGATAAATTGCTCATACGTGATCAATACTCTACTCGTGGTCGATTTGAATGCTGTCGAATGCGACATGTTCTGAGGGGCGATTGTTGCCTCGGTTGAATATAAGACTTGGAAGTAAAGCGGGTTCGTCCGCTCATGCCTCTACGTTTAAGTATTTTAGGGGTAGAAAATCTAGAAAGTAGGATTTATTTTAAAGAGAGAGCGAAAGATACGTCTAGGGGATAGAGATTCTTTCGAGTAGTGGGTACCTATAACTTACTGTCTTGGAAAAGTCGAGGTGTGAGTTTTTCGAAAATATTCAATGTGATGGGATGGTATGATATAATATAGATAAGTACGAGGAGCTAGAAGGTGAGAAATGATCCTTCCATGTACCTGGTTCGTATGTATCTTGAGATTTTTGCAAAGTTATCGAGACGGTCTGCTTGTAGATGGGGTCGAGGAATTCTCGGTGATGGTGATGGCGGAGTGATCTGCGGATGGGAATAACTGATCGAGGCTCATATTAAAGAGCTCAGAGGTGAGATGTTAGAGAGGGGGATAATATGCGCATGGAAGTGGGGTGAAAAGGTCCTTAGCGAGTACTTCAGATGAACTGCACTATACTGGGGTGTTGAAGAACTGGAGTGGTGCTCGTGAGATGACCTCTCATCTGTATGTGGGTAGCCCTGTCGAGTTTTCCCTGGTAACTTGGAGGTGGGAGGAGGTAACGAGGCGTTCGAGATATTTTCTTCGAGGCGGGTTCATGTGTGAGATTGTAGCTGTCAACGATATTCTTCCTATACAGAAGTTGTGTATCATGGTCAAGTGATGTGGCTTTTATATGGGATGGAAAAGAGATCTGTTTAGCCGTGAAGGGAAGTGAAGAGGCAGATAATATCAATGATCGCCAAGTGATTGCATTGGTCCAGATGACATGTGAAAGACATGAGTCTTTAGATCTTCTATTCCTTGGTTCTCGATTCAACGCGGTTGTCATGTGATGTGCATTTCTTTCTCAAGGACACAAAGCGAAGATATCGCAATTGATGGCAATGAAAAATATTCTTCAATTATCCTAGAGAGATCATCGTTAAAACCATAATAGATAGGGACTGTAGGATCTGGTACAACAACAAGTTTAAGAATTGACAAAATTATGGCTCAAATCAAAGTTTTCCAGTCCTCTTTCTAAGGTCTCGATATGGATTCAAGAAGCATAATAGAGTTTCAACCAACCCAACAAGTAACAGGTCCTTCATGAGGTATATTGGCGATCTCCCAGCGGATTCGAGATATCACACGGCCCGCTTAGAATCCAATCAAACCGCATCTTGCAGTCTGGCGGAATTCGACAAATTCTTACCGAGCGTGAAATCAACATAGTATTAGCGCACGATAGTAATAATTTATTAGTAGTTCAATACATCTGCGATACTCGTGGAAAGCTGCTATGTATTTCACGTGCGCATTGAACATTTTACAGCGAGAACGCGGTAACTTCTATCCAGGTCCCAGATATATATGATCCGCCTCTACAAATCGATCATCCACATCGGGTCTTGGAATTCAATTACGGTTACAGTTCATTCATTTTCGAATAGCGCATCGTGCATGAGATTTTGCTTTTATGAAGAACCGACAAACACATGTTCTATACATCTCATATTCACATTAAGCGGATGGATAGTTGAGACTTCACAAACATCCATCACAAATGTATTCGTGAAGTTTCTTCCGCAAATTCGTCACAACTTACCGTGAGATCCGTCCAGAGACATGAACTTGAAAAATGATGTCTGTATTCACCAATCCTGGTGTACACGCCAATTTTGTATAATCTCCAGGCCGTGGATGATTCACTATAACTCCACTTGTAGGGGTACGATCTATTATTGATAAGATATGATATATCTTAGTATATCATAAATGAATAAACTACCTAGCTATCTACAGTATCCTAGAGAAAATTTTCATGGTACTGGGAAATATGGTTTTTGTGGTGACTATCGGGTGGTTTCTATGAATTTTCTTCTTATGAAGAAGAAGAAGAAGATACCCCGGGATAGTTTGGGACGAGTACCCTTCCCTTCCCATCAAAGTCCTCAAAATACAAGTAACCAAGCCCCTCGTAGCCTACGCAATTATCGAGATTTCTGATTTCGTCAAGCTGTATATAGTGGAGATATATTGTCGTCACCGTCATCCTTATAAATATATAAAATGAACCGAAATAGACTTATGCAGTACCGATTAGTGCGTACTAGGCAAGTCTACTCGATCTGATCTGCCTTGCGGAATTAAATCAAGCATGATCCCTGACATAGTTTTTGAATAACATCGATTTTGAAATATGAATACAGAAAATTATCCTACATAGATAGTATCAAGATACGATTTAATGTATTGATACACTATCACAAGTCAACACTACTCAAGGATTCTTCCGCATATGTTTGTAATGTTTCATTCATATAGAAGGTTGATCTTATATCATTTTTTGAAGAAATCTCAAGACGCAGAGTTCGTTGTTAGTCACTGGGACCCACCACCGAAGTTTAGGATTCGATGCGGAAGAAAAAGCGGGATGTTGAACGTTACTTTACTTTTTTCTCGAAATTCGTATTGAATTGTTCTATGAGATGGGGGTTTCGATTATTGATTATACAAGAACATTTGCAAGTATATTATTTATAGATTTTCTAACTCTCGTGATATCGATAATATAAATTCATATTGTTATCTCAATCTAAAATAACAATGTTTCTTTTCTGTAAGGGGTTGAATATTTAGCGAGTTCCTTGTCCCAGTTTTCCCGTTCCGATCGAGTAGGGGTCAAGAATACTAACGCAGACCAGCCACCGAGTCATTTCACGCATAAGGCTGTGATTCTATAAAGACGTATCTTAGAGTCTCAGCTTAGAACGCGGCTACAAAATGATTAACCTCAGCGGTATCGGAAATAATCTTCCGGATTAGCATTTCCAGCGACGACATGCTGACTTGCCAAGAGAAAGCATACGTAGCCCCTACTACAGATTTTTCCCTCTTTGGGGGGCTGACAATTGTATAGAAAATCGATTTTGAAGAGATGAGCATACCGTGGTGAGATTCCGAATTTCCATACCCATTCCTTCGTAGCACATCCACGCATCTCGCCAAACTCGGTTGTCGAAAGTTAAACTCGCGAGTATCGAGTACTCGATTTGACGCCCTCAAACTTAAAAATGAGTACCGCTCGCGGTAGTTGCTTCGGGACCGAAGATTGCCAAGGAATGTATGCTCATCGTGTCAGGTAGATCCACTTATAGGTGCGGGTATGTGGGTCGAGCCGCCGGTCCGGAAAGACCCTGACCTTGACAGGTCGGCTATTACTCCGATCAGATCTGAAATGGTAGGATGAGTTCATATATAGAGTATCAGTAATATTGAAGATACTGTACACAGCTTCCGGAATGTGGTGTCGGAGCCGAATGTTGAAGCAACTTGTGATAAGCTTGTTATATCCTTTGTGACATTGTCGGTCTATTCATTCATTAACATTTGATCATTAAGAACCTGAACTTTTCAGCTATTAGCCCCCTGAAATTTGTACTGTTGAGCAATTAATAGACCAATGTCAAGTGTGTGAACATCTAACATCCAAACCCTCTTCTACAAGACCACGCGGTCTTCAAAGCTCAACCCAAGTCACCCACCCCATTCTCAACTCAACCACGATTAAAGTAGTTCTTTCCATCTAGCCTTCTTCTCCTGAACCCAAAAGTGTCCGAGTCGCATATCCCTACTACCACACTACCACACGACGGGGAAACACGAGCTCCTACCCTTTTCATCCAAGCTAATCTGTCAAGTGGACGTTAACTCCAGTTTCACTTGCATTCCCCAATCTGATCAATTACATACTGTGCCTGAAGCATAATCATTACTCCTGCTGTCAGAAATAAGCATCTCCGCCGCTAAAGACCCAGATGATTCCGCATGTAGTTTACCATCTTGCGGTACGTGCATCTAGCATCGGAGCCGCAAATATCTGGCTGCACGAGCATGTGAGAGAAATTGGGACAGGGGTTATGAGAGATGTGTATGCTGGTTTGCAGATGATATCTCCTTGTCTTCGAGCACTTGATCGAATTTTCCATCTTGAGCTTCCTGACTTGAAAATATGAGCTTTTTGATAACTGGGAGATGTTTCAATAAGGAAATGTCCTTCGTGATGTTTTAATATGTGTTGAGAATTTGATATCTCGGCTGGCGACAAGTACCATAGCAAATTCCCACCTTGTCACTATTTCCCCCCTTGATCGATACGGGTATTCGAAGTTCCAGACGGTAGAAAACGATGTGTCAACTACATGCCGTTAGAATCATGGCGCATTATCGGATGAAGTTGAAAAAAAAAAATCGAATTTGAATCTTGAAATCCACACGCCCCGCAGCCACCCATTATCGAAAAAACTACAGAGTACGCGTCTGCAGTCGAAGCCGCATTTGCATGCATGGTTCTTGCTTCCCCGGGTTAAACGCTGGCTTTTCTTAGATTAAATATTTGTTGGACGGGGGCTGAAGGATTACATCAAGTGGATGTGAATTCGAAGACAGAGACAACTAGATGATTACTATATAGTTCGCAGGAGGTACTCGATGAGATGTTGTTTCATTAACACTTTTTACAGTAGAGACCACTGTCATACGATCCATACAAGTTTTCTCTTTTCAACTAATTTCACTTGTTTGATTACCTATCGTAGCCATGAAGACCACCCAGACAGTAGCTCTCGCCGCCGCCCTCTTGTCAATCGTTTCATCAAAGGCTACTCCCACTCAACCTAAGTCTCAACTCAAGTCTACACCCAAGAAGACGATTGACACCACTAGCCTCCATTTCTACAATGGCACATGTACTGCGGAAACCATCCGCGTCCGTAAAGAATGGCGAAACATGAGTCGGAGCGAAAAGAGTGCATATCTTCAGGCTGAGCAATGTTTGTTCAACCTCCCTGCCGCAACAATCTAAAAACAATCTTCCCCATAAACAACAAACAGAAAAAAAAACAGAAAAAAAAACGCTATCTTCTACCCCCCACTCTCAACAATCCTTCCAACCTAAACCTCCAGACTCTAAACCTCTAGACTCTAATAAACCTTTTCTCATTAAAAAGTCTTCTAATATTACCTAGGTATTTACGAATTCCACATCGTTATGTAGAGTTTCAGTTTCTATAAATAATTGGTTAGCTTAGCTTATAGCTTAGCTTAGCTTATGAGATCTATATCTCTCTCTAGGTAGGTATCTATATAACAAGATCTTTTCAGTACGGTGATATCATATCATCATTCAGCATGAACTACAAATATCAACTACAAATATCAACTACAAATATCAACTACAAATATCAACTACAAATATCAACTACAAACATTAACTACAAACATTAACATCAGCATCAATATCATCATCACATCACCATCACCAAAGAAGAAGCATATATATAAGCGAGGGAGCGAGCGATTTCTACATACTACTGTATGCCAATGCCATTCATGAATAGAAAAATCATCCTGAAATTCTATCTATCTATCTATCAAAATGCGCTTTCAAATATATGCATCATGCAATTATCCACGCTAAAGAATCATTTATTCATAATTTTCTTTTCCCAATCCGTCAATCATCCCGTTCATGAGTCCCCATCTCTATCCCCATCTAGTACCCCACCTCCCCAAACCTACTTTCCCAAAATCAATTCTTCCAATCTCTCCCTCTCCCCACTCTCCTTGACCATCCCCCTAAACACTCCCCCATCCAACTCCATCAATTCCCTCGGCTTTCCAAACTCCACGACTTTGCCCTCACCCAACACCAAAATCTTATCGAAATCCGCAATCGTACTAAGTCGATGCGCGATAACAATCAATGTACTATCTGTGAACTCTTGTCTGATAGATCTTTGAATCAATGCATCGGTATCCATATCCACTGCCGAGGTTGCTTCATCCAATACCATAATTTTCGGATGTGAAACGATGGCGCGTGCGAGACAGAGGAGTTGTCGTTGACCTTGCGAGAGATTGAGTCCACCTTCGGTGATTGGTGATTGCAGGGATGTGAAGAGGTTCTTGTTTTTCTGGAGCGAAGGAGTCGACGTTCCGGATGTTGAGGGAGTGTTTTGTCCAGTTGGTGGAATAAGCTGTACACGTTCTAGAGCATCTCGAAGTTCCGAATCTGTATGTTCATCAAAAGCATCGAGGTTAGATCTAACCGTTCCAGAGAAAAGTACTGGATCTTGTGGGATAATCGCTAATCTCGAACGAAGCGAATGCAAATTAATTTTAGAAATATCGAGACCGTCAATATGAATCGTTCCTTCACGGGCTTCGAGGAATCTGAAAAGTGCGAGTGTCAATGAAGATTTACCGGCTCCAGTACGTCCTACTACTCCGATTCTTTCACTACGTTCGACTCGGAATGTAAGACCTTTGAGAACGGGTGGAAGATCATCTGCGTATGAGACAACTAAATCATTAACTTCGAGACGACCTTCAGTTGGCCATGCTGCTGGTGGATCTGATCCTTCTAGAGATTCGGTTTTGAGGTTTGAGTATTCAATGATACGTTCTGCCGCCTATAATATTGAAAAGTCAGTAATTGCCAATGAGTGAAAATGACGCTCCGCTGGCCCTCCGGGGGCCATTGCCATGGAGGCCGAATAAGATCATATGAAACATCATCGAGCGCAGCGAGCAAAAGGGGGTTTGGGGGCTTGCCCCCTGAAAGCATTTCACTATCTCGTCCATCACCTCCGACTGTTGGTATTCTTTGTTGAGAGCCATCACCTCTTCCTTCGAGAAGCTTTCCACAATGCTTTCCTCGCCCTTCTTCCACCCAAAATACCCGGAATAAAGAAAAATTATCAAAACTTACATTCATATTAAGTTCCAAATTAGTATAATGCCTGATTGTCCACATGACCGTTTGACCATAAGCCAGCGCAAAACTCAACGCAAACCCAGCCAGCGCAGCATCGATTTCCGGAAGCAAAATAATGACAATCGCCACAATTGTTGAGAACAATCCACCCACGAAAGCCATTCTCCATCCCATCCATCGATTGAAGACCCAGAGATGCCAGAATGTAGTTGAATGATCGTCGATTTTGGCCCACATGCTTTTAATGTAGATATCTGTTTTGTCAAATGCGCGAATTGTGCCTACACCTGTAAGAGCGGAACCGAATTGTTCAAAGATGGGGGATTTGGCGGTTGATTCGAGACGTTTGACTTCACGAGCACCAGGGAGATAGAGAAGTGCCACGTAGACGCATACTGCCAAGAGAACAGCAGACATGAGGAGAACCCATGGAGAGACGATTATACTATCATCGTTAGTTTAGATGCAAAAACAAGAAAGGAATTCGATACACATACCCTGTGCAAATGATCCCAATCAATCCAAAAAAGTTATTCGCCCCAAATGCAAAATCATTGGCCAATCTTCCATCAACCACATTGAAATCGGCAGTAAATCGATTCAAAATTCTACCAAGTGGTACTGTGTCCATCCATCTTAAAGGTGTTCTTAAAACCGTAAAGCAAAGTCTTTCAAATAGAATCTTGGATGCACGAATAGATCCAGTGTAAACGTAGAAATATCGGAGAGTTCCTACAACAGCAGAAACTGCCGAAAGAGCAACGTATATACTCAGATAGAATGTGGTGTCATGCTTGATTGCTTCCGTTTGGAAAGATGAATTCTGTACATTGCCGTATGAAGGTAAGTGGTTGGCCTGAGTTGTGAACATGGAGTTAATAATGCTAGATTCTTGATAGCTCGCTGTCCAAAGTTTCAACCACCAAGAGCGACCTGAATAAGCGTTAGTAATTGTCCCAAGTAGAATTTAATGAGCATCGACATCTTACCAGTGATCAAGAATTGTTGACCAATGAAAGCAATCAAAACAAGAATCCAGAAAGACCATCCACCAGAAGCATTGAGATAATGTCCATAGACCTTTACTTTAACACTGCCACGCTCTCTCGTCTCTTCTTGGACGAATTTCTTTGGATCATCCTTTCGTGATACAACCTTCGCCAACGAATTTCCATCAGTGTTCTCATCGTTAGAAGACACAGATGGATTAATGACTGTAGATGATTCCGATATCGTAATGGGAGCTTGGTCCTCAGCGATTTGTTCCGGTGTTTCTTCGTGACTGATGATACGTTCAAGTGTACCCGCTTCTTCCAAGTCCGAAAGAAGACCTGCACTTTCAACCGTTCCATCACCAAGTTCGACGAGATATTTAGCTTTGGCCTTGCAGAGAGCGACATGATGAGTGACGAGAATACGAGTACGTCCGATACCAAGTTCACCAGTAAGACCCTTTTCGTAGATGAAACGACCAACATGAGCATCAACAGCACTGAAGATATCGTCGAGAACCAATATGCCTGCACGAGAATAGAGGGCCCGAGCAAATGTAACTCTCCATCTCTGTCCACCACTCAAGTTGATACCATTTGCGCCAATTTCGGTATTCTCACCGTCTCCAAGCATTTCCAAATCTTTGCGCAGAGCACAGTATTCGACAACCTTTTGATAGCGATCTTCATCAAGTGGTAATCCGAAAAGAATGTTATCCTTGATACTGGCATTTTCGATCCACGGGATTTGAGCAACGAAAGCAATTGACGATGGAATGATCCAATTATCTTTATTGGCAAGATGATCATGTCGATCTTTGGCTCTTGGTCCTCGAGGAACATTGACCTTACCAGCAAGTATATCGACTTCTCCGAGAATCGACGCTAACATCAAGCTCTTTCCGGTACCAGTTTTACCGCTGATGACACTCAATTCTCCTTCGGGGAAGGAGACATCGACATTTCTTAAAACATATCGTTCGTTGGCGTCCATCTCATCCTCGCCCTCAGCACATGGCCATGCAATTGAAGCTTTCTCGAATGAAACATTGGGCGCATCATTGGTACCTTCGGATATTTCAGCCCCATTCAGATATCTTTGGATACGATTAATAGAAATGTAGCAATCAATCAAGTCCGTGGTAAGTTCTGGAATGACGCTGAGGGTAACCTCCAGATTGACAAAGACGCCTATGGCAGTGAATGCGACCGAAGGTAGAAGAACTCCATTGAGGTAAGCATATACTGCTAATGCTACTGCAGCAAGAGCGATAGGGCTTGTGATCCAACAAAAGAGTAACATTGTATCATTGAGATAAACACTCCATTGCTCATCCAACTCCTTCTTTCGGACGAGTCCAATTTTGTTGCCCCAATTCGATTCTAATGCGGAGAACTTGATTTGACGAATACCTTGAAGTGCTTCAGTTACAACTGCCATTTTAACATCTCTGACCTTCATTAGTCTGTCCTGAGCTGCTGAATAACGTTTACTAAAGTAAATGTTGATAGGAACAGTCAAAGACATAGCCAATATTCCCGCCAGCAAACTCTTCCATCCAATGATACTGATCAAGAAAGAAAAGGAGACAACAAGTTTGAAAACGGAACCAGGGAAGTAGTTGTTGAATGAGCAAAAGTCTGAAACTCTCTTGGCATCCACACCGATCAAATTAACTGTAGATTGTTTTCCCTTTGGATCACTATCCTCTTCTTCCTCTTCCTCTGATTTGTCTTGTGCGATCGACTCTTGAGCTTCTTCAGATGTTACAGTAGACTTCTTTTCCGATCTAGCTGCACCTTTCACATCCTTACGTCTCATAGCTTTCTGGAAGATTTGAGCCGATAACTGGGACCTAATTGGAATGGCGAGTTCAGCCCAAGAAATCCAGAACATCCAGGATTCAATCCAAGCTGCGGCGAGGGTGACCAAGAATAATGTAGCTACCCAAATCCAAGCTCCAAAAGGGACTTCGTCTCCAGGTTGACGGCGTTCTAACATTTTCAAAATCTGAAAGGTCACGAATTGAGGTGCGAAATTTCCAAAGGCCTGGAAGACTGTAAGGATCCATTGAATGATGAAGGGCGATTTAT